GGGAAGATGCATCAGGGAAAAGAATGGAGAATTTAGGACATTTCAGGAATATCTGGCTGTAGCTAAATTCTAGGGCCAACTCTAATCCACGGACGGGAGATAGATTTCACCTTGAGTGCCATTCTTTAAGCAAAGAATGCTAAGCCAAAACTCAGTTGAGAACTTACATGTAAAAGCCTCCATAAAAATATTTACAAATCTGTTTTTTCAAAAAGAAACACAGGAAAGACAAGTCAGAAACTATTGAGTTTGGTTATTCAGAAGAGGTGAGTAAAGCTTGGTGGATGAAATAAGAGAAGTGAGGTTTCTTTTGAGTATTACCCTTTTGTATAGTTTTTTTTTTTTTTTGTGAGGAAGATCAGTCCTGAGCTAACATCCACGCCAATTCTCCTCTTTTTTTGGCTGAGGAAGACTGACCCTGAGCTAACATCCGTGCCCGTCTTCCTCCACTTTATGTGGGACACCGCCACAGCATGGCCTGACACATGGTGCGTTTGTGCACGCCCGGGATCCAAACCTGGGCTGCCAGCAGTGGAGTGTGCGCACTTAACTGCTACACCACGGGGCCACCCCACCCTTTTGTACAGTTTTTACTTTCAAAACCACGTTAATCTTTTATGTAACCACGAATTAACATAGCTGTATTAAAAACGAATAACAAAACCACAGTGAGTTGGGAACAAAAGGACTAACCCAAGATCATTTTGAACATGGGTATTTTATAATATACCCCACACTAGAGGCAAATATTGAACTCCAGTTAATAGATTTTTTTGCAGTGTGTATAGATTACCAATTCTAAAACTATTTTTACAATTGAGCATATAAGTAGATACATTTAAGATATTGGGAGCTATGTTTCCAAATTCTCTTGAAAAGGGATATATTGATAAATATGGAAAGAGGAGGGCTAGAATGAACCCTGTGTTAAGGGTAGAATATAGATATATGATACAATAAGATAGATGATAGATAGATAGATAGATAGACAGATAGATAGATAGATAATGGTGTGTGTGTGTGTACTCTCTGCTAAGAGTGCCTAGAAGCAATGACAACCCAGAAGCAATAAGCACATCTGGTACCCACATCTTGGTTTCTAAATACCATTTTCCATGAAAAGAAACCAGGATTCCTTGAAGAAATGGTTGAATTTAGAACAGGGCAGAAAAAGTACAAGAAGAGCCTGGAATGTAAGGTTTGTGCCAGAAAGTAGGAAAAGCTTAAAGAATGATGGAGATATATTAAAAGGCCGTAGGGAAATAGTCCCATTTGCAACAACATGGATGGACCTGGAGGGTATTATCTTAAGTGAAATAAGCCAGACAGAGAAAGACAAACACCATATGATTTCACTCATATGTGGAAGATAAACTAACATACACAGTTTGGTGGTTACCAGGGGGAAGGGGGTTGGGGGGTGGGCATAAGCGGTGAAGGGGCACATTTATATGGTGACTGACAAATAATAATGTACAACTGAAATTTCACAGTGTTATAAACTATTATGACATCAATTAAAAAAATGGCCATAGGGGATAGCTTGAAATAGCTCCCACTGAGAAAAATGGAACAATTTGAACATCAAAATAAATAATGATAGTAACGGACTACAATCCATCACATAAAATAAGAATCCACGAGCCCCTACCGACATAAATAGACAAATAAATGTGGGAGAAGGGAAAGATCTTCCTTACAGTAGAATGGCAACTAATAAAATGTAGAATAAACAATGGCGTTAGGAAAATTACCATTTCAGAAACATTATAGTAGTAGCTGACTCAGGCAAGAATTACAAATGGATATTAAAACAATTGGGTAAAATTTTAAGATCCTTAGCAGAAAAGCAATATTTAAATAGTCTCAAGATATCTTCTCACAAATTACTTATTTATTGCAAGGGGAAATATATATATGTATGTATATATGTGTGTGTGTATATATATATATATCTGGCAGACTTAACATTAACTAGGAGTTTACAAGTCAAGAAGTTAAGCTTCAATGGTCATACAGGAACAGGAAAAAAGATCTTGGATGCATTCAATGTGGAAAGGTTGAATTGATACTTCTCATGTAAAGGAGGCACCCTCAAAGGGCTATACCCTTAGTGAAAAGATGGACTAGGGAAATATCTGCTTTTTCAAGCAAGGGAGATGACCAAAAAAAAGTGTTTGTATTGGCCTAAGCTCTGTGTGGGAGAAAATTGTCTCTCTTATGAATTTGTAACCATGGACAAGCTCTGAGTGTCCTAAGACAAAAAATTAACATAAAATGGTTTCAATTTGGTAGCAACCAAAGGACACATTTCTGGAGGGGCATACTCCTAAACCATGCTGCAAAGAATTCTCACAAATGAGCTCACAAACCAAAGTGACAAGCCAAACAAGAAAACAAGCACCATGAATGAAAACCAGTATAAAAAAGAAAAGACGAATTTAACTCCAAAATACTTTAGATAATATAATTATTGGGTTCAGAATACAAAACAAACATGACTGAAATATCAGGATAATTTTTACAAAACATTAAAATGGAACAAAGTACTGTAAAAATTCCTAGCAAATTTTTAAAAGAAGCAAATAGAATTTCTAGAAATAAAAGAATTACTCGTTGAAAACCACAGACTAAAAAGCAGATTAAAAAGAGGGTAAGAGATAATTAGTGTACTAATAGAAAGATAAAGGAAATTACCCAAAATATCAATGATAGAATCAGAGAGGTAGACAATATGAAAATTAAGAGACATAGACCACGGAAAAAGACTGTCTATGACAAATCTAATTTGAATACAGAGAAAGACAGACAGGAGAGAGAGGAGGCCAGCTCTGTGGCATAGTGGTCAAGTTCAGCGCGCTCCGCTTTGGCAGCTCAGGTTTGCAGGTTTGGATCCTGGGTGCAGACCTACACCTCTCAAGTCATGCTGTGGCGGCCCCCTACATACAATATAGAGGAAGAGTGGCACAGATGTTAGCTCAGGGGTAATCTTCCTCAGCAAAAAAAAAAAAAGAAAGGAGAGAGAAATGAAGAGAACAGATAATTGAGAAAAAGACCATTTGAAGAGTTAAAGGCTGAGAATTTTCCAGAACTGGTGAAAGATATAAATCTTGATTCTGGGAGCACAAAGAAATCTATAAATTATTATTTTCATATAAAAAAGACAAAAAGCACAAGACAAAAATGGATCAAAGATGGGAAAAAATACAAATGACCACTAAAGATATGAAAAAAATGCTCAACCTCACTAATAATCAAAGAAATGTAAATTAAAGTATTGAGATATCATTGGGAAAATTTTCTAAGTATTAAGAATCTCAAATGTTGGAAAGAATGAATGAAAATAAGCACGGTTCTACATTGTTGGCAGAAGTATAACTTTTTGAATAAAGTTAAGTCAATTTGGTATACTCTATCAAAAATGTAAAATTTGCATATCCTTTTAACTCTGCAATTCCACTTTTAGAAGTACATTTTTTGCAACATGCTTGTAATAGTTAAAATTAGAAAGCATCTCAATGCTCATTAGTGTGGGGAATGGTTAATAAATTAAGATAATCTACTCCTTTGTATACTATCCGGCCATTAAAAGGAATGAGGCTAACAATAGCCTAACAATAATAGCTAACATCATTCAATGGTAGGCAGTATTCTAAGTATTTTACATATATTGACACATTTAATCTCAAAGAACTCTATGATTTAAACCCTATTTATCCACCTTTCACAGACGAAGAAACAGAGGCATGGACATTAGGATAACCAGTATAAATCACCCAAGCTTAAAAGCAGGAAAGTCAGGCTTTAAATTCCCACAGGCAAAAGTGATGTCCATGCAATGTGCCACCAGGCCATCGTGCCTCCTGTATGCAGTAACATGGAAAGTTCTCAAAGTGAAAAAGCAACGCTTTTGAATAAGAAGTACAATATTGCCATATTGTATGACCATACATATAGGTTTGTATATTGATAGAAAAGTGACTGAAAAGTCGCATGCCAAAGTGTGAGAAGAAACACTGGGGTGAGTTGATGGTTGACTACATTTTTCGCCACTAGTAGGTAACATTTCTACTAGATCATTAATCCATCTTTCCATTCAGTGAGTATTTACTGGACACCTGTTATGTATCGGAAACTGCTAGATACTGAGGAGCAAAAACAGACACAATCCTTGTTCTCTTCGATCTTACAGTCTAGGGGAGAAGACAAACATTGAAATGCTGTGAAAGAAAGTTAGCTGGTGTAAGGGGGCCTCTAATAGAGGAAAATGGTTGGAGAAGGTTTCTGAGAAAGTCGTGATTGAGCTGAGCTCTGAAGAAAGAGAAGGAAGTATTTAAGCAGAGTGTTGATGGGGAAGAGTGTTTCACGCAGAGAGTAGAGCAGGTGCTATGACTTTGTATGGGAGATACACAGTCTTTAAAGGATTTGAAAGAAGGCCGGCGGGCTAGAGAGTAGTGAGTGAGGGTTGTTAGGTGAGGAAGGAGAGGCAGGTCGGTAGGTTACCAGACTACATGGGGCCTTGGAGGTCTTGTTAAGGATTTTGTCCTCTATCCTAAGAGCAGTGGGAAACTACTGAAGGAGTTTTAAGGTGTGTGTGGGGAGAGCATAGGGTTGGATCTGTCTTGAAAAGATTGCTCCAACTTCTGGGTAGAGAGCAAATTGAGATTTGCTAAATAATACTGTACACCGGGAAAGAAATGGGAGCTTAGCCTGAGTATTGGCAATAGACATGGAAAGAAATGAACAGATTCTGTCATTATTTCAATAGAAAATAAATTCACTGGAACTTGGTGATGTATTGAATATGGGAGAGTAAGGGAGAGGGAGGTGTTGACAGCTATTATATGTGAGGAAGGAAGGAGGAAAGAAAAGGGGCAGAGGGAGATTTTCATGTACGCTCTGTACTGTTCTGATGGGGCCAACGGCCAGGAGTGTTTGTATTGCCTGTGTTATTAAAACAACTCAACCCCCCAAATAAGCAAATAAAAAAAAAATATGACCTTCTGGTGAAGATGGTTTACTTCCATTTCCTCTGTCCACAACCTTGACTCTGGGTTTTGGATCCTTTCTTTTTTCTAAATCTTTAACTGGAAGAAAAGTAGAAATACAGAAACATGTTATATTAGTCTAGAAGAAAATATTCAACGAGTTTTACTAAAACCCTTCCAAGTATTGAGTATTGAGTAGAAATTAGCTCCATGGTAGAAACTCATTCTCAAAGATTAGAACTTCTATTTCTTTTAACGTTGTCATCGGAAAGTGTGGAAAACACTTAAGGAATTACTTTGGTCAAGTACTCACCATGGACAGATGTATCAAATAAATTTAATCCTTCATAACTGCTGTAAAATCAGCGTGATTATCCCCATTTCATACATGAGGGGACAAAGGACCGGGAAGCTATGTAACTAAAAGATATCTCATAAAACCAGAAACTGTTGGCACAAGATTCAAGCCATATCTTCAGGTCTCTGGACAAGGCCTATGAGTTAGTCCCTGTTCTAGAAAGATCTTAGCCATGAATAGCCTCATTTGGAGTTGGCCTATCTGCAGTAGAAGGTGGGGAACCCTATAATAATTTCCCTACAAACTTAAAAGAAAAGTTTCCCTTCCAAAAATGGTAGTGTTTCTTGGTCACTTTCATTAGGAAATATTCAGGGACCCAGAATGCCCCTTGTACTTTAATACAGTCATACCACTCTACACCATTAGCTACACTTTCCACTGCTTAAAACTCCACAGCAGCTTTCCTGCTATTGTTTGGCACCTTAAGTTGTCTGAGTCAGTCGAGACCACTGCCAAATGGCAATGGTTTCTACACAAATAAAATACCCCGTGAAAAGGCAGAAGTGACCTTACGGCAAGATATTTCATTTAATTGTTGCATTCACTTCATGGAAATCAGCAAATTTATTGGAGGGTGGGCTATATAAAGGAAGCGATGATTTCCTCTGAACCATCCCTCCTGTTGTCTCTAGGGTATTATTCCATTAATCCTGTCTTTATCACCTCCTCCTCTTCTTTCCACTGGCTTCCTTCCCTTTGCTAAAAGAGTTTGAGACCTGCCATCTGCCAAGGTCATGTTGCTCCAGTTCTATTATTCCTTTCCTTAGAAACCCTCCTTGGCTTTCTGGCACCTAGAGATTAAATTCCAAGATTAAAAAAAATAATAATAGATATAAGATGCCTTGATCCTTCTATTACCACTGAATTTCTAGTTATCTAAATCCATTTTTTTAGCTCTCGTTCTCTGACTTTTTTATAAGCCTTGGCCACTTTGGAACACCCCCGCTTTTTAAATTCTTTTCTGTCTCAGTTTTTACAAAGGCGTTATCCTGGCTTTTCTTGTATTCCTCTGACCCCTCGTTTACATTCTCATTTTTTCGATCTTTTTTCTGCTTTCATTCCTGAAACAGGATCATATACTAAAGTTATCTTGCATCTCTGCAAATCCCACCTATAATTTTATCATCCCATAATTTTAATTCTCACCCTTCTGTGGGTAATTTCCAAATCTGCATCTTCAATCCTACCCACACATAAGCCATGGCCTCAAACTGCTTACATTCTGTAAAAGCAAATAAGTCCGCAACTTTAATGTGAGGAAAATTGTGCCGAAGTAGAAATACATCTGGGGAAGAATAATTCCAGAGGTGGAGACTCGGGGAAACTTCACTGGGAAGGTGACAGGGAAGCCAGACTTTGAAAGATGAGCAAGACTTTGCAGGCAGAGATTAGCAAAATATCATTCCAAAGAGGAAAATGGTGGTCGGAAAGAAAGTTTGCCAAATAGGGTCATAAACTAGTCTACAGATGAACAAGAAAAAGTGACAGTCACTTTGAATTAGGCAACTAGTTCACATATAAGACGTAACACACAGGTCACACCAAACTGCAGTCCCCCTCAGGCAGGGGGCAAAATTAGCTAGAAAACAGACTGTCACAAGCCAAGCGATATTAATCATAACAACAATAGCTCCCATGCCCCTACTCTGTGCTGAAGTGAGCTGGTCCACACCATAATGGGCACATGTCATCACCCCCATTTACAGATGAGCAAACTGAGGCTGGAAGCGGTTGAGTTGCTTGGCCAAATACCCACACCAGATTTGGAATCATAATATCCAGCGGATCAGACATGCCTTTCTGTCTTCAAATTCCAAAGACTGTTTTTTAAGCATCACTGTGTATCAGAAGACGGACTTATGAAGAATTCAAATCCCTACACAAATTGCAAACGTATATCCACAGGATTTCTCTGGATCCTCATTTTCCTGTATCCAACCATGCAAGTTTTCCAGGGAGGGGAGACCAGGCTTTAGCTCCATCTCACAGGGAGCAAAAATACAACTAAAATGCAAAATGGAAAAGGAAGCCATCCAAATAAAGTTATTTGAATTTCATTCTACAAACTGTCATTTAGGAAGAACTAATTCCTCTATCCTGCCAATAAAAATAACATAGCTAAAAAAAAATATGCTTACCTATAATTTATCCAACTAATCAGTTAGACTATTTTGTTAAGATTATTTCAGCAGAGCTCAATAAGGCCAAAACTGCATTTTCTTTTAAATATTTTGAGTAAACAGCTATTGGAAAGGATTTTTAAGGCTGTCTGTGTTTCTTATGCTGCTCAGTCAGCGGAATATTTGAAACAATCCATCGCAATACCTTCAGACTAACATAAAATGAATCGTTTCTCCTGGTCCCTTTTACTGCTTCTCACAAACTTTTAAGAAAAGTTATTTCGCTTACTCATGTAGGAATGTTGGAGGCCAGCAACTGAAGCACAGTGCCAATAAAACGAGACACAAGGCTGATTTATATTGAAAATAACATAAAAAACCTTTTCCAGAGCTTCCAGACAACGTGAATCTCAAAAGAATGTAACATTTAAAACATCTGTATGTTCTGCTGACAGGTGGATTTACTAAATGTCTTTGTTCAGAAGTTTCAAGAGGTAGTAGGTTAACAAAGTTGGGGTTTTTTTAAATTTAAACTTTAAATTAAAATTTAAATTAATTTTAAGTTAATTTTTAAAAAATCACAAAATATGTCTCATAAAACATTACTTAAAAGAATAAGGAAAAAAAGGGAGGGAGGGATAGAAAATCCAGATAGAACATTGCTTGCACATACAATTCTAGAATCCACGGCCTCCCAGATTTGTGCATCAATCCTAAAGGAAGGATTTAAAAAGCTGGTGTTATTTGAAACGATGTCTAGGATTTGCTTCAAAATAATATGGGGAAGGGTGGCAGTGGGGTACGGATGAAATAAGACTGGACATGAATGGCTAATTGTTGAAGCAAGTGATGGATACTTAGGGGTTCATTATACTATTCTGCTGATCTTTTTATTATGTTGAAAATTGTCCTTAACAATAAGTTAGGTTGGGCCGGCCTCGTGGCTTAGCGGTTAAGTGCGCGCACTCCACTGCTGGCAGCCCGGGTTCGGATCCCGGGCACCCACCAACACACGGCTTCTCTGGCCATGCTGAGGCCGTGTCCCACATACGGCAACTAGAAGGATGTGCAGCTATGACATACAACTATCTACTGGGGCTTTGGGGGAAATAAATAAATAAATGAAATTTAAAAAAAAAAAAAAAACAATGTTAGGTTTTTTAAAGAGTCTATCTTAACAATGAAGTAACACAGAAAGTTAACCAGGACAGGCCTCTTCTGTTTGCATTCATGACACACAAAACTCTGCCCTCCATATTTGAAAGGCCACCTCCAGGAAGAGGGAGTTGCTGTGGTCTCCAGTCACTAGCATATAAGGTCTATAGGGGGAGGGATTTGTCGTGTTCCCAGTGCCTAGAACAGGGCCTGACACTTAGTAGCTATGCAATCTATATTTTTTAAATGTGAAAAAAAGAAGAATGAATGAGTGAATATCTCTTTAAAGACTGAAGAATCAGGGCCAGTGTGGACAACTTTTAAACTCAATGGAAAGAAAAGCTTTCTAATGGAATGGTGCAGATAAGGCTGGGCTGCCTCAGAGCTTTCTCCCCTGCTTAGAATGTCTCTGCATGCCCCATGCTTTCTTTGTCTGCCCAACTTACTATTTGAGAACTGGCTCCAAAAGGAAGCCATCCCCCATCCACTCTCTTCACAGCCCATTACTGGGGCAAAGAGAGCCCTCCCTTCACAGAGTCCTAAGTGTATCTCTCTCTAATAGTTACCACGTTGTATTTGTTTACCAATATTTGTCATGGGACCTAGCACATAATAGGCTGTTAATAAATGCCAACTGATTAATTATTGGAAGGAGTTAAATTCCTTACTGTGTAGGGTGTTTTAGCAGAGGCTGGATTGGCACTTGCTGGGGATACTACGGAGGAAATTCTTGCATCATCCATTCAGTCATTTGGTAAGTATTTATTGAGCATCTATTATGTCCCACGTAGATGAGACATCTGGGTAAAGTTCAGGGTAGAGCATTTGAAAACTAAAACTTAAAGGATAAGTAGGAGTCCAGTGAAATGGGTAAAGGGAGGGGCAGAGGAGTATTAGAGATAGAAGGAACTCATGAAAGATTGTACTAAATGTCTTTTAAAATCTTTTCAAATTTAAAAGCATCTAGGATTTTAACCTGTTATAATATCTAACACAGACTCAAACTCAGAGCTGGGACAGAGTCCCTTGGCGGCACTTTAAGATCTATAAATACGTACTTCTGAATTGACCCTGGGCTGGCTTGCTTTCTTTGTCTTTATGGAATGCAATAAGTTGAACTGTGTAATTCTGATCTGGCATAAGACCTTGAATAATTGCTTTAGTTGCAGTGTTCTGGAGATTCAGTTGATTGGTTTTTCCACCTTAATAAAACAGAAAGATAAATCAGTTCTAAGAAATAGGTTAACTGTGTACATTAAGACAATTTATTAACCAGCAATCAAGATTTTAAAAGGTGAAGACATTTAAAAATATATATAATGGTTCATATGTGCCTAGCACTTAATTTTAATACAGTTTTCATTCTCATTTTCAGTTGTACTCTTTGCATTAGACAACTTAAACAATGGCTTAAATTAGATAAAAACACATTCACAAAAATCTTTCACCATAACACGTTGTTGCTTTTATATACTAGGGAAAGCCATAGTGCAAGATTAGAAGACAGTAAGCCCTCAACATCAGATATATTCTTCAAGGAAAGAATGCCACTTAAAAGTGAAGGGAAAGACATGGGCAGATTGAATGTAATTATGTACGCTGGACTTATTCCTACCCCGTCTCTAAAGTGAGTCAAAGCATCCTTGAAGCATTAGCAATTTAATTAGCTTTAATCTGACCATCACTATCTCAGAATGTTAAAGGAACTACTCACTACCTGGCTACTGAAAAGTTAGCTTGGTTCATAAAAAGATTTCAAACCTCCATTATCTCTCTATCAAATTAGACTGCCATCTAAGGCTTTCCTGAAAACGCTCCTGATTAAATACTCAACTTTTGTGCAAAATTCCAAATACACCTTTCTTCTCTAATTACTGGCAGCGATCACTGTGTCTGAGAAAAGGGAAATTAATTTAAAACTTCTGCCCCTCCAGCAGTAACAGAAAAAAAGAATCTGAAACTTGCTGAATTCATCACACATAACATAGATTACAATATACGTTAATCATATTCTAATAAAATTAATGACATTAAGTCTGAAATTTGATGCTGCTATCATCCATGTTGCCTGCTACTTTCAGAAGGCAGAACTGAGCCTCTCTCTTGCCAAAACCCAATTCCTTAAACGCGTTTGTGTCCAAGATCTTAACTCTGGCTTCACTAACTTCCTCTATCATCTAAAACTCATCTACTACAAAGTGTACCAAATAAATCTTTCATAATGTACTAAAAAAAAATGCCTCGGAAAACTCTGTATATTAGAGTCTCTCTCTGAGAGGCACAGGATGTATTATTTTATTAAAGGCTTTGTGAACCCTGCAATAAAAAAGCTTTAAACTCTGTTTAAACCAGCACTTCTCAAATTTATTTGGCCATTAAACTTTTGGTTGTATAATAGCTATTAGCTTCCTGCAGAATACCATGGAACACGCTTTGGGAAAGACTGGTATAAACAGTATTTGGAACATGTCTCATAGTACTAAAATGTCTACAAACATTTTGTGTCTAGATGTATTTATTATAGTTGATCAAGTAGATACCAGAGTGTTAAGACTGTGTTATTGGCTTGGGCCACTGCAGTAAGGACATTGGCTCACTGGGGAAAATAAACCCAGTATTTACGAAGAAATAATTTGCTATCATCCTCAATTTTTATTTCGTCACTGGAAGTGTTGAAGCAAGAGCTGGAGGTCTACTTTTTGGGTGCGCTGGGCCAAAGGGGATCGAAGGATCAGGCTGAAGTTTGGTCCAGAGGAGACCCAAGTCACTTCTAAGATTCTATGATTCCTCAATAATACCTGCTTGGGATGCTTAATACTTTGGCATTATCAGCAATGAAATAGGAAAAGTTAAAACATGGATTATCTGTAGGAAAAGTAACCTTTTAAGATGGGACAAGGGGAATTCTCAAACGTACCATAAACTGGTAACTTGTATTTTGACCTTTAGAGTCATAATGACGTTCAAGAATCTCTTAAAGTTAAATTTCCCAGGATGGCTTATTTTAGAAAATGAACTGCATTTTAAAAAGTCAAAGTTATTTCAAAATTGGGCCATACTCCAAAACGAAAACTCTGAACCAGGCTTGAGAGTAAAATATTGCTTTCCACAAGTGAGTCACTTCTGTAGGCCAACATGGGAGAAATTGGCATGTGGTATTACCGAACCAGAAGTCATTCTAAGGAGCCTATGGGTACTATTCGTTAATAAAAGGAGGTTCCTCTTTAGTGACCGAGCAAGAAGCCAGGTGTTTCATCTACTTGTTTTGTTTGACATTTTAAATCCGCTATTGGGTAAGATATCTATATTTATGAACAACAGAACATCTGTCTGTCTCATTAAATGAGTATGGAAAAGGTCTCCAACAGAAAGGAGTCCAGATCCATATAATCATCTTTATCACCAATAAAGAGAAAAAAATTATTATATTTCCATAAATATATATATTATACAAATATGCTATTATTACGTGTTTATTTTGCACTATGTGAAAATTGATCCTAGGAAGAGAAATGAGACCTGAGAGATATACTAAAGAACATCTTTATAATAATCATGGGTGAGATTTACTGAGCACTTACTATCTGGCAGTCTCTGTTCTAAGGACTTTACATTTACTAATTCATTTAGCTCTCATAACCAGTGCTTCCCAAATTTAATATGCATAGAAATCATCTGAGGATCCTTTTAAAATTTCGATGCTGATTCAGTAGGTAGGAGGTAGGCCCAATATTCTGCATTTGCTCTCAGGTGATGCCAATGCTGTTGGTTCCTAGACCACATTTTGAGTTCCAAGCCCACAACAAGTCCATGAGCTGGGTACTAATATTGTTTGCACATTTTACAAAAGAGGAAACTGAAGCATGGAGAGATTAAACAACTTGCCCTAATGACATTACTTATAAGTCACAGAACCAGGTTTTGAACTCAAGCAATCCAGTTGCTAACCCCATCTTTGTCTCCATGACACCCATATAACAGTGGCAATTCCTCTACATGCTCTGTATTGTTTTCTTTGATTATATTTATATAATAAAAACACAAAATATGAGAAGGAAAAAATTCAAACCAAATTTAATTTTAAAAAGTTTTTTCCTGACTACTTTTTCTTCATGATCAAGAAATTTAACTTTTGCTTTTCTTGCTTTAATTTATCACTTATTTTTACGTCTTCTTAGCTTTTATAATTTTAACGTATAATTTCCAATAATGTTCTATCAAGTTAATCAATCATAATTTACTCAGCCAGTCACTACTGTCTATATTTGTTGATGTATCATATTTTTTAAGTGCCAATAGACCAAAATTACTCATCCTATGTTGAAACAGAAGTAGTGAATGTTTTGGTTTGGAAATTTCGCCTGAGAAGAATTATGGTGAGCCCAATAGTCACATTTAGACTTTGGGAACACTTTTTCCTTGATTAGAAGGTTAGATTTAAAGTTCAAAAGATTAAATTAAAAAAAAAACTTTCAAATGAGTTTAAAGCAACAGCACTACACATTTTTAGTTAGCTAGGTGTAAAAAGTTGCTATACTCTAGCAAATGCAGTTGATTATTTTTACCTGTAGCTGGAGTCACAAGAAGTTTGTATCCACCAAATTTCCCTCTTGGAGCCTTCCATGAAATCTGTATACTATCATGAGATAATACGCTATATCTTAACCGTGTGGGTGGAGGCACTGAAAGGAAAAACAAAAATTGTTTACATGCAGGAAGGTTTAAGCTTCCGTTTGTTACACTGAAAACTTAAGGTAATGTAATCAAAATTCATGAGACTTTATCAGCCTCAAAATATGTTGTTTCTACAACTCCTTCATGAATTGATCAGTTTGCAAAAGAACGCAAACCCAAGGGCATTTGTTTCTTACTCGAGAGATAAGCATTTGTCAAATAGTACTGACCTTTTCACAAAGGACTATGAGTTAGGGGTAGAATTTAATTCTCTAGTGTAGTTTAAAAACTGAAGCCAATCTTGTAAAATGCTTTCATTATGTCACAAGGACGAATTTTTCTACTTGGAACATATGAGTTTTCATAATCTACTCTACTGGGACCTGTTTTATGCCTTTAGGTTTTTCACGTTAGTAATCCAATATTTTTTATGATAAGATCATTTAAGAAGGCTATTATGGACATATTATAGTAATAAGATCTTCATTTTAAAACATTTGAGAAACGGATTGTAAAGGACCAAATAAAAGATAATTATGTTTTATAAACTTTGATCCACTCTTCAAGTGTAGCTGATGTATACCTTTCAGAATGATACACAGCACATGGTAATGAATCATGCCAGTATATTTAATCTTTTCTGATGTTCACAAAATTGGTAGATCTATATCATTTTTGTATAAGTCATTCAAACTTCAAAACATATTTTTGGAACCCTATATCAATGTTCCAGAATTTCAAAAGAAATACTTTAGTAAGAAGACTTTTATTATGTAATATCTAAATTAGTTTGTCAAAAAAGAACAGCTAATGCTTAACAGAAAAGTTAGCACTTATTACCCACTTATATGCCCAGCCTTTCTTTCTACTTTAGAAAACAGAGTGTGGGGGAAGGAAATGACATTCTCCTTAATAGGTATGTAGCATAATATGAGATTTGGACATTAGTTTGATTCCCAGTTCTGTCACTTATTAGATAAATAAACTTGAGCAAGTGATTGTTTTTTCCAAAGCCTTATTTTTAGAAAAGGTGACAGCAATACTTTCTGCACAGGATAGATGACAATGTTAAATAGGATAATGGATATAATGCATTATAATAGGTGGTCAATAAATGTTTGTTCCCCTTTCCCCTTACTTCATCTAATGGGTGATCTCAAAAGCTCATTTAATCCTCACAAAAATATATTGGTATACCAATTTTACATATAAGGGAACCAAGGAGAAGCTAAGAGACTTGCCCAAGTTCACATACTGATGAATGACAATCTCTGACTCCAAACAAAATGCTCTGTTTCTTTGGGAGAAGATTCATATTAAGAAGTCACCCTTCACTGAGCTAGATAAATGAGTAATTTACTCCTGTACAAACTATCCCCTCATCTGAAATCAGTGAGCAGTGAAGGGCACAATCTTAAGAGTAGTATTCTCTTTCTAGCTGCCCTTTACTACCTCTCAGTAGAGAAGGCTAGCCACGCAAAGCAAAAACAGCTTCCCATTCTAAATTTGACATGAATGGAAGAGTTTACATTTCTCTGGTTTATGGGAAAATATAGATTTATCATAAGAACAACTATCTTGAAATAGAAGAGGAAGGTGGCCAAACCTAACATTTGGATAAACAGAGAAATTATTACTATTTTTCTTAGTCTGGAACTTGAGTAGAAACATCTATTTATAGATAGGTTCTTATTACTTGTGGAAGAAAATTAAAGGTAAGAATTAAAAAATTGTAAACTATATATCCAGTTTCTGAACCAAATCTTGCCAGTGGGCTGGTAGACACCATTGGCCAAGCTTATTGCAAAGTTTTGCATGAATGCACTGGTGAAAGAAAGCTGGGATGCCTGAGAACCACCCAGTGGAAAAGTACCATAAGCAAGATGGAAACTTCAGTCTAGGCAGTTCCAAGAGGGTCAACCAATTCTGTCAGCACCCCAGGTGTGTTAACATCCAAGGAGGGCAAAGAAGTTAACAACATTCAGGATTCCTAGGTTAAAGATTAGAAATCTTTATAGCACATTCTACCCAGGCTATTGTTCTTTAAATGTGGTCTGAGTTTATAGTCTGCAACATTTTTTTAGTCAATAGCTAAGCTTCTGAACCTCAGGAGAAAGTAATGAGGGTAAAATTGATTATGCCCTGACATCACAGTTCATGCTCAGACACCACGGATGGTGCTTCAGAACCCAGAGTGCACTGGCTTCTGTTGAACTACCCAGGAAATAAAGTGAGAAGCATATGCAGCAACAAAATCCATCAATATTCTACTTTTTAAACAACTTACAAATGATTCATGTGACTACAGTCCCATCACAACTGCTAGCAAAAAGCAACACCACCATTTTCTTTCATCAACACCCACAACTATTGCCTATGTAAGCATAAATACTCTCACGATCGTTAAAAAAAATCTTGGCTAGACACAAAATTCACATTACCTTTAAGTTTTTGCTTTTAGGGGAAAAACACTGAAAAGAAGAAATGCTAGTTAAGAAAGAAAGAGGCATGAAGTCAGTTTTGAACTTCCAAGTTAGCTCCTTTTTCCCTGTCTGCAAGGCACTGGGACTCGTGCCAAAGCAAGAGAAGCAAGATTGACAGAAACACTCTAAGTGCAGTGGAGAAATAACTGTTCTTATCTCATGGAACAAAAATTTGTGTATATTTAATACTAGACCCATGATTTTTCTTTTTGTGAGCACAGAGGAGGTGCATCTATACGTATACTTAACTTCCAGTAATAATTATAAATGCTTGCATGAACTTGACTCGAAAGTTAATTTGTATCAGTTAAAATCTTAACCTTTTTAAAAAGACAAAAATCAAATGTAAAGTTTGATTTCTGGCACATACTAAGAGCCTGGAGCAAGCCAACAAACTCATCCTTTGTATGGTGAAGTCAGGCTTCCTATGTGGGATTGAGCCAAAGACAACATTTGTGAATATATGAACTTCATCCCAAAGGGAGATTGAGGAGGAAGACTGAGGAGAGTCCATTTCTTATCTTCCCCTCTACTACAGGGTTAGGCTTGTTGTGGAAAGTACAAGGGTATTTTTCTTTTGTCGTGTGGTATTTTTTTGAGAGAGAAGATTTTCTTTAAACTCAAAGAATTTCACTGCAGTCATTCTTGTAGAAATGAAATCTCAAGGCAGAAAAGGAATGTTCATGTCATTCCATTGAAACCTTATTATTATCAGGTACTTGGGAAATTTTATTTCATAATATGACTATTTATTAAAGGGTTAATTTTCTGCCCTCCCCTCCCTTCTTTCTTTCCTTCCTTCTTTCCTCCTCCTTCCTTCCTTCCTTCCTCTTCCTTCCTTTCTTTCCTTTTTCTTTCATTTCAATTCAATTCAACTCAACTGAAATCTTGCTGCTTTGACAGGTGGCAACCTATGCAAAGGTGTATTTCTTTTTTTTTTTTTTTTTTAAATTTTATTTATTTATTTTTCCCCCAAAGCCCCAGTACATAGTTGTCTGTCATAGCTGCACATCCTTCTAGTTGCTGTATGTGGGACGCGGCCTCAGCATGGCTGGAGGAGTGGTGCCTCTGTGCGCACCCGGGATCTGAACCCGGGCCGCCGGCAGCGGAGCGCATGCACTTGACCGCTAAGCCACGGGGCCGGCCCGCAAAGGTGTATTTCTAATGAAATATTCTCATTAATTTCCCGAAACACTACTTTTGACACAGGAACACTGAAATGGAGATGTTCTGTTTTTCACTACCCATAATCCACCTCCCCTCTGCCTTTTCTAACAGCACCCTGGTTTTCTTCCAAGGGAACAACACTACCTCCCCACTGCAAGGGACCTTGACTACCCTATCAGCCATCCTCCTCTGGTTAAGGGGTGAGAAAATGACTCAAACCAGGCCAGGCAGACTCTCTCAAGAATCTGAAACTTCCGTCCACCACTGGAAGGAAGGAAAATAGCTCTAGTCATTTCATTCCAATGTCATGAGCTAAAAAAAAAACGGTCACTATATCCATTTGTGAGCTAGAAACTATATCCAGGGTGTTCCCAGATTCCTATCCTTGTCAAAGCTTAATTATGTAACTTTTACTTTAATTATATGAGCTACTTCATTACCTCCAGTGAATACATTTTTTGCTTAAATTGGCCAGAGAAAGTTTCTTTTATTTGCAACCAAAAATCTCTGGTTGAGATGGAGCAGTATAGACACGGGGAGTGTTTTCCACTTCAAAACATAGTTTAGGGTGCACATCAATGGAACAACCTATTATATTCCTAAAACAAAATACCTTTAAATAGCAGAGAAGTATTTGGCTTATTTTTTCAAGTGATCTAAAAAAACCCCAAACAAACATCAAAAAACCTTAGTTTTTTATATCAGTAATTTTCCAATTAAATGCATTGCCCAAATGTTCTATAGATAGGAGAAACTAAAATTTGAGAGAAATTTACCATAGGATATGCTGGAGAGTTCTTTTTATCTTGCATAGAATCTAATTTGTTGTAATTTCATGATCCATTATAAAGATGCTGAAAACAGCAGTAAAGAAAATATTCTCAACTTCCAAATATGTTTGACTACTAATAACAGCAAAAAATATCTGTAAATGTGTTAACACAGAGGTCTTTATGAAGTTAAAACTAGCCCCCATGCAAAGTCTCCAATTTTATATACTTTGAGGTTTTTAAATGACAGTTACTTTACCTTTAGTGGTTCTTTCTTGTAGCCATCCAAAACAAACATTGCTAGAACCAAATATAGATTTGCTGTGAAATTCTGAAAAAGTATTGGTGCCACCATTCTGCCATGCTGTACACAATTTTTCCCTACAGCTAATACCACATTACTTCCTCTGTGTTCCAGTTCATTTAACAACTTGTCTTGAAAAGAAGATGCTGGAATAATCCAGGTATAAACAGTTATTTGAGCCAATAGGGGTTCACATCCCCTGGAGAGGGAAAGGTCTTCATAAAGAATTACATAGAGAGACTAAGAGGTAAAGCACATTCTGTTGATTAGCAATTTAAGAGGGGAGAGTTAACTTCCTGTATGCCTTTTAATCCTGACTGCATTAGTTCTCTATTGTTGCTGTAACAAATTATCACAAAGTTAGTAGCTTAAAACAACAGAAATGTGCTATCATACAGTTCTCAGGTCAGAAGTCTGAAATGGCTTTCACTAGGCTAAAATCACAGTGTTGGTAGGGTTGCATTCCTTTTTGGAGGCTCCAGAGGAGAATCCATTTTCTTGCCTTTTCCAGCTTCTAGAGGCTTCCCACATTTCTTGACCTGGGGCCCCCTTCCATCTTCAAAGCCAGCAAAGGCTGGTCAAGTCTTTCTCGCATGGCATTACTCTGACACTGGCACCTCTGCCTCCCTCTTCCATATTGAAGGACCCCTGTGATTGGGTCCAGATTGGACCCACCCAGACAATTCCAAGATAATTTCTCTATTTTTAAGGTCAGCTGAATAACAACCTTAATTCCATCTGACATCTTAATTCCCCTTTGCCATATCTTTTAACATATTTTCAGGTTCTGGGGATTAGAATGTGAATATCTTTGCAGGCACATTATTCTGCCTACCACACTGACCTTTTTTTTTTTTTTTTTTCCTTCATCTTGTGCATAAACATGACTCCAAAGATGTCTATAAGAATTTAAGGTTTCAGAGTAATTAGTGTCAGCTGGCAAGTCAACACACCTGTCATTAGCAAAGTACTTGATTGAACATCAAACATATTCACGTATGGCTTGGCAAATTAGTGTCAAAATTGGCCAACCCACAGGAGCTCACTACTATGTTTGCTTTAAAAGTAGAAAATCAATCAAATAAAGCAATTCATATTCCTTATTCTTTGCTCAAAATCACTCATGTAAATAAATGGTGTCATGGTAGAAATAAGATTCAGTTTTTCAAAGGTCACACATAACTTTCCTAAAAACCAAAGCCAACCACATCTGAAGCCTTTTCCTACTGGGGTTTCCTCCAGCATGTGCCCACCATCTTCCTTCTTGAAAGTTTCTCCAGACTTCCCTTCTAGACCACCACACTCCCCTGACTCTCCTTATAATTGCTTTTTTGACACTTTCAATTGGTCCTTTTTCTTCCCTGAACCTCTTACTGTTGATGTCTGCCAAATTTCATCCTCACTTCTCTCCGGTGGACCATCACTCTCTCATTCTACCTAGAGGACTTTAAAGGTCCCTATAAGCTAATTCCCAAGCATAATGCAATTCAGATATAATCTCCTGCCCCCATCTCTTTCTCCTAAGATCCAGACCACCGACTACCTATCAGACATCTCCTCCTGGGTGTCCCACAAGCACCTCAAGTTCGACTATTTGTCTAAGACTAAACTCATTATCTTCAGCTTCAAATACTTGCTCCATCCTTGATTCTCTTATTAAGCCCTCCAACAGATGTCTACCATGATTGAGGCATTGTTCTGTACTGGAGATACAGACACTAAAGAGAGAACCGCTGCCTTCAATGAGCTTAGGCAAACAAACAATTAGGACACAAAGATATAGAAGCAATAATAACACAGGGGTGGAAATTAAAGACCCCATCGACTCAGTTCTCCAGCAAAAAGCCTCAGAATCATCTTTGATATTTCCCTTTCCTTCAGCTCCCTCCACATCTAATTAATAAACAAGTCCTCTCACTTCTACCACTTAAATATTTCTGGGATTCCTTCTCTTCTCTCTAACCCTCTACTGACTTCAGGCCCTCAACACCTATTTCCTGGACAACTTAATATAATCTTCTAATGGTCTCTCTTGCTTTAGTCATTCTAATCCCCCAACCCCCAATGAGTCAGAACTATGAGTATCATCCACACTGTTATCAAAGTATCTCTCTAAAAAACAGAGCTGTTTAAAATCTTTCATAATCTGGCTCCAATCTATCTTTCCATCTTTGTCTTTTGTCCACAACCCCCCACAGAACTTGTATTGAGATTTATCTGCTTATACTCTGTCTCCCTAGTGGACAGTACACTGCTAGAAGGCAAAGAATAGAGTTTCATTCAGCTTTGTATCCTGAACCTGACACAAAATATGTGCTGCAGAAATGTTAATTTAAAACAGAATTTGGCTAAAAATGTATATCTGGTAAACAGAATGCCTGAAAGAATCCCAGAAGAGCTCTATCTGATCAGTTACTCCATGAATGACCATTTCTGAATCAAGCTACACTGAGATGGCAACTCTGAAGGGCTTCAGGATTTGCCTACCCTGTGCTCCTAAGGACCCGTGTCTTGTATCCCATAGTCGAGAGGGTGAGTTATCTAGGATTCCCATGATCACTTTGCTAATTGCCACACCTGAAAGCATTCTTTCATCAATGTAAATAAGGTAAACAGAATTTGTCTACCCAACTGATCCCTCTGTGTGGCGTGAAGTAGATGGATGTATGGTCATTAACTCCAAGTGTTTTAACACTATTTGAGCCTGCAGAGTCAAGTTCTATTCCTCTCCAAACAAGTGTGCCTCACTTTAAGGAAGCAGGGCATGGTGGTGCTTGCATTTGACTTTTCTACAATCTTCAATTCCAAACATTCCAAAAAAGTCTAAAACCACCTTCTTTATCACATTTAGGCTTCTTTGCTCAGCTGATGAATGACTGTTTCAGCACCAATATTTCTGTTTCTGCAGGATTACCATGTTTGTCTAGTAATGTCGCTTTGCTCGTATTATGCACTTCAGAGGTTAGCTCCCTTTTTCTGCAAAAGGCCAGATAATAAATATTTTAGGCTTTGTGGGCTATCCAGTCTCTGTCACAACTACTCAACTTTACCACTGCAGTGAGAAAGCAGCCACAGATAATATGTAAACAAATGAGTATGGCTGTGTTCCAATAAAACTTTATTTACAAAAGCAAGAAGTGGGCCAGGTTTGGCCCAAAGGTGGTAGTTTGTCAATTCCTGACATACTTTATAAAATGAGTGGAAATTAAAAATTAAAGTGTGGATCCCAGTAATATAAATAGATTTTAAATACTAAATTCAATTAAAACAAAACTAGAAATCATTAGAAATGCTTAAAATGACGCATCAGCAGCCTCTGTCAGACTGTTAGTAACCTGTGGGCTACGTGCTCAGTTTTTAAAGAAAGGAACGAAATTAAGGACCAAGTATGAAATGGCAGAAATATTTTGTAGACACTCTATTTAAGAGAGAGGCACAATCGGGATACATACACACACACATAGTTCCTTATTAATAGAACTGATTTTGTAACATGCACATTTGACTTTTACTGATTAAATTTGCACAGACTTTCCAGAAGCACATTAAGAATGAGCTGTTTAACCAATTGCCACAAAATTACTATGCTCAGTCACCGGTGAGGTCGTAACCCTCATCAAAGTTGTGGCACATTTCTACAGTGTAAACAGCTGGTAAAATTGAGTAAAAGCCCACATATAACCCTGCCTAGAAACATAGTGGAATCAATGAAGCACTATTAGGGTAAATAAAATAAAAAATGGTAATCAGAACCAAGATGGCTAGAGTCCCAGACCTTAATGATTATCTTAAAGTTTTCAATTACCTTGACCCTGGACACCGGTGCAAAAATAAGCAATTGCCAAAAAGGCTTGAAACAGCCAGTACTGCATCTTGCACTGAAAAATCTTCATTTTATTTCCTGCTTTTCACATGGGATCCACCAGCAGGCCTGGAAACAGAGAGCACAGGGATATTCTGAGAAGGCTGAAAATGAAGTATATGCAGTCATCTAGGACAGGCAAACAAGACAACATGGATTAGAATTGTCAGGAAGTAATTCATTCCATAGCACATCATGTATTTCACTCTAACATATAAACTGATAAAAGAAAAATTTTTGAGAAGATGCTGTAAATAGAATAATTTGACATATTTGGAAGAGAAGTTCAGATGGTGTTTTGTGATTCTTTTGTAAGGTGTAAATTGCACAGTGAATTTCCCAAATGGATAAATTCCAAAAGTTTATGTGAAATGAGCATTATAATCAGACAATCACAATTTCCTTGGCAGTAATGTGCTCCTCCAGTATTTATCACATAAATTTAAAAGTCCTACATTGCCTTATGTTGCTTACAAAGTAAAGATATATAGGACTTTCTTCTAATGATCAAAGAGAATTTGAAAAACCACTTTGTGCTAATATTAAATCACTACTTAGCTTTCACTTCACTGGGCTGAATCATCTCTAATCTTGTATTATAACTTTTTTTTCTCATATGTGTGAAGGATATGAGGACAAATTCTGAGTCCTTTCCTCAGAGATTGACATCTCAAAAGTTTCCTTCGACCCAGGGTATTTTTTTCATTTATACATTCATTCATTCATTTATTCCCCAATATTGTATCACAAAGGATCTGAGGCAACTTAATAATAAATAAATATAAACAAATATAATGTATAAGGTAGGGCTGCCAGATTTAACAAATAAAAACACAGGAATCCCAGTTAAATTTTAATTTCAGATAAATAGTAATTAATTTTTTAGTGTGTCTCATGCAATATTTGAGACATACTTAATACTAAAAAAAATTATTATTGTTTATCTGAAATTAAAATTTAACTGGGTGTCCTGGCAATCCTAACATAAGGGAAAATTTGGTGGAAATATAATATAGTATTGAGTAAAACGAACACAGTGAAAAATGTATCTGGTCCAGATACAGTAGAGGTGACCATGAATTTGACCCAGAATTTATGAATTAGCAGTCAAAGAAAGAAGGATCATGCTAAATTTTAAGGTTTACTATATTATTAGATTAATTTTTTTTTTCCGGGAAAGAGTCACCCTGAGCTAACATCTGTTACCAATCTTCCTCTTTTTTTTTTCTCCCCAAAGCCCCAGTGTACGGTTGTATATCCTAGTTGTTAAGTCCTTCTAGTTCTTCTATGCTAGCCGCCACCACAGCATGACAACTGACAGACAGGTGGTGTGGTTCCATACCCAGGAACTGAACCCAGGCCACTGAAGCGGTGAGAGCCCCAAACTTGAACCACTAGGCCATCAGGGCTGGCTCTAGATTAAATTTTCAAACATATCTTTCTGGAGATGTGTACCTTTCCCTGATACTAAAATCTGAGTAGAACTTTTTCCATGGTTCATCCAGAAAAAGGTCACTGTACTTTATTCACAACATTTATTGAGCCCTTACTATGTGTGAAGACTATTCTAAGTACTTTACACATATATAAATTCCTTTAATCCTCACAGCAATTCCTTTAATTAGTTTAATCAAAGTAGGTATGATTATAATATCAATTTACAGATGAGGAAAATGAGGCTAGTGTGAACTCACTCACATAGCTAGTGAGTTCAGGATCCAGGATTTTTTTTTTTTGATGAGGAAGATCAGCCCTGAGCTAACATCGGTGCCCATCTTCCTCTATTTTATATGTGGGACACCTGCCACACAGGTGCATAGGTCCGTGCCCGGGATCCGAATCTGCAAACCCCGGGCTACCGAAGTGGAATGCGTGAACTTAACCACTACACCACTGGGCTGGCCCCCGGATCCAGGATTTTAACCCACACATAAGGCAGTCAGACATGGTAGAAGCATCTTAGGAGAACGTTTCTACAATATCACACTTCATACCACTTTCTTTTCATTTTAAAATATCTTTTCTTGCTCTGATTATAAAAATAATGAGTTTTAATGGTGGAAAATTAGAAAATACAAGAAAGCACAACAAAGAGTATGCACTTTTTGCTATCTACTTTTCCCTTACTGAAGTGTGAATATTTTCTGATGACAGTAAATATCCTGTTAATATATATGGCTGTAGCACAATCTATTTATTATCTATCTCTATTTGGAAATTTAGTTTATTTCCAAATTTCCCTAATACACATAACATTGCAATAAACATCATTATTCACAACTCCTTGAATACACGACTATTGATTTCCTTTGGCTAAATTCTCAATTATGGAAACGCTAAGTAAAACGATGTGTTTTTAAGATTTTTGAAAGATGTGTACATAATGCCCTATAGAAAATTATGCTGAGTTCCGTGTGCACCAGCATCTTATATGAGTACCACATCACATCACTTCCACCATCACAAGGGTTAACTGTTTTCAATATATGTTGATTTGATAGGTAAAATGTGATTATCACAATATCATCTTAATTTGATTTATTTACAATCAGTAAAATGTAACATTTTGTGTTGGTTGGCTATTTATACTTTTTATAAAATATCCATTCATATCTTTTAATGATTTTATCATTGATTTATAAGAAATCTGTACATATTATTATTATTATTTTTTTTTTTTTGCAGTAACATTGGTTTATTGCAGTAACATTGGTTTATAACATTGTAAAAATTTCAGGTGTACATCACTGTACTTCTATTTCTGCATAGATTACATCATGTTCACCACCA